CACTCATAGGATTGTTGCAAGAAACTTGGGCTATCAACATTCCAAAAGATGAAGGCTGCAATACGACAGCTAGCGTATGGAATTTCAGGTGATGCAGTTGACGAGTACATAAAAATAGGAGAAAGTACTGCAATACAAAGTTTGAAGACCTTTGTACATGATATCATAGATATCTATGGAAAGGAATACCTACGACCCCCCCACCCCAATGAACTTGAGACGATACTGAAGGAGAATGAGATCCGTGGATTTCCTGGGTGTAAAGGGAGCATTGATGGTATGCACTGGCTCTGGAAGAACTGTCCTCAAGCATGGGCAGGTCAGTTTGAAGGGAAAGAGAAAGATACCTTGGTGGTTCTTGAGGCAGTTGCCTCAAAGAGCCTCCGAATCTGGCATGCTTTCTTTGGTACGCCAGGTGCTCTCAATGACATCAATGTCTTACAAAGCAGCCCACTCTTTGATGCTTTCATCAACGGTCAGTTTCTCATTCATGATCAATTTCTCATTGATCATGAATCTCAAGTTTAATTTTTTTTATATTGAATTGCATAGGTTCTGAAGACCGAGTTCAATTCAAGGTTAATGGCCATGAATACAATCAAGGATATTACCTGGCTGATGGGATTTACCCTTCATGGCCTGTCCTCATCAAGTCAATTCATTGTCCAAACAATGAAGCAAGTCGTTATTTTTCAAAGCTGCAGGAAGCTCTTCGGAAAGACATTGAGCAGGCATTTGGGGTTCTTCAAGCTTGCTGGCACATACTGGTGTCACCTTGTCGCCTTTGGAGTATCACCGACATGACTAACACAATTTTGTGTTGTATCATCATACACAACATGGTTGTTGAAGACCGCGGCGAAAAAGATCAGATTGTGATTGACTATAGATCACAACACGATCTTGAGGTAGATCCAAACTGGCTTGGTCCTTGACTCACATACACCCTTGCTCAATATTATGAAGCTAATGCTCAGCTTAGAAACCAAGATCAACACTTACAGTTGATGCAAGATCTGAAAATCTCTATGTGGATGAAAAAAGGCAATGGTGCAGATTAGTTTGGGACCAAAACTATTGATTTCAAGTCATGATATAATGTATCAAATCACAAATGATGAAATACAACAAGTCCACACTAGTTTGAGGAAAAAAAAGTTTGAGAAAAAAAATTGAGAAATAAACATTTGAGATATAAAAATTGAGATTGAGCAGATCAACAAAATGATTGAGAATATGTAATTCTTTAACTATCAATATCATCTCTTTCTTCCTCCCTGTACTGCCTCAATAAACGTGCTTTTCATCAATCTGAGGACTTCTCTTGATTCTTTGTCTGGACATGAATCAAGAGAAGCCATTAATGTGTTGAGGTCCTTGGTTTCTTCCTGGACCTTGAGAGCGCGTTCAGCCAGTTTGCGTCCTTTCTCCAGTACAACCGCCTTTTGCTCCTGGATGTCGGTGGCACGTTTGAGCTCCTTAATCCGTTGAGACTCAATTTCCCGATCCTCACGTTGACGTTTCGCTTTCTTCTGACCAAGAGGGCAATCATTCAAGTTGATAGATTCGTCAGGAATGTTCGATTCAGAAGTCGGAGACACCAGCGTTCAATGATTTGATCCCATTTGCGGCTTGTGTCCATTTGGGGGCATATCGAAGGATTTGCCACAAAACCTCGTTCTTGAAATTCTCGCTCGTTCAATTGAGATACTCTTTCTTAGCCAGAGTCATGTAATCAGCAGGAGCCACTCCACTTGGTGGGTTCTGTTGAATTCCCCCATAGATTGTCGAGAATTTCAGAGTCGCTGTGTTGATTGGTTTCCAGCTATGATCAAATGCGAACGTCAAGAAGATGATAATTAGTAAACTTTCAAGATGAAAACTAAAAATCAAAACAAAAATACAACTTGAAATGTACTTACTGGTTCTTTCTTTGCTCACCAGTACAAGGCTCCTTTGCATTTGGGAAAGCCTTGGCAAAGTGCTCGGCCACTTTAGCGTAAAAGTCAGTTCCGGATTGATTATTTGCGTGTTTGGAATCTTCACTGATAGCGAGCCACGATATCGCCAGTTGTTCTTCTTCAGGCACCGTCCACTTTTTTCCGCGTTTCCTTGCGGCCGCGTGCTCGCTTTGGTTGGCAGGAGTTTGATTGGGTGGGGTTTCATTGGCATCCGGGGTTGGGTTGACTGCGATATCCATCTGAGGTACGAGTGGAGTGAGATTGGTGATGAGGAGGGGTGGTGGTGTCGAACGGAAAGTGATGCGTGGATGGGTGCGGGGTGGTGGAATTGAATTTAAAAGAAATCTTTAGCCGGGGTTAAATTTAATCCCCCTTGAAGATTTTTTGAAGATTTTTTAAGTAAAGATTCCTTAAAGACTCACCGTTGTGTATTTTTGGCAGTCTTTAGGGTTAAAATTAAATAAAGCCTTGATTAAAGCCACGATTGCGGATGCTCTTATAGAATGAGGTAGAGATGTCAATCTCTTACTTCATACAGAGAGGTGAAATCAAAGTTGCACTCCAACAAGAAACAGCACCAGTACATGCTAAATGGATGAAAGTGGAATAGCTTGAAGAGTTATAAGAGCGCGATTGAAAAATTCATGAAGTTCAAAAGGGTAGAATCAAAAGACCCTTTCAACCTAGCAGCTTCTAAAGACAACATCTACAATTTTGGTGTGTGGGCAAAGAGAACAAACAAAAGACCTACACCAAAAGACCTTCTTTCCACCATGCTCAAGAAGTATCTCTATGGCTTGAAAGTGTGACGGCTCTTTCATGAAGAAGATTTCCCAAAAGGTTAAGAAATCAAGGATAAGGTTAATATTGAAAGCTTTAAAGCAAATCAATTTATCTTTACCAAAGACAGAAAGAAAGAAATCAATTTTTACCTTTTTGCATCTCTTACATCTAGTAACCACACTCATACCCAACAAGATTCCAAGAAAAAAAGATCTTGTAAATCTGGATCGAATTTTTCACGCACTTTCTAGAGTTTAAGAAGGCTGAGAGAGAGAGATGATAAGGGGATAATTACAAAACTTTGAAATTCATTGAATGTTCAGATGTGATGATTTAGAAAGATGAACCAGGAGAAGAATGATTCATATTTTTACAAAAGGAGCAAAAAACAACATGGCCAGGAAAAGTTCAAATTCTTCAAGTAAGACCATTTAAACACATCTTCTGCCTGGTAGCAGCACTCAAAAGGCGCTTAACTCAGGTGTCGAGTCAAGATGATCCTTTGTTCAGTTACATAGACAGATCACACAGGTTTAATCTCTCCAAACAAGTGATTATGACAAGATGTGAAAGAGTTTGGAATGAATTAGGTTATGATGGTCTAACTGGTCATTCCTTTAGACTAGACAACACATCCTTTGGATTATTTGCACTAGGAATAGCAATAAACAACATCTGAATATTAGGAAGATGACAGTCAAGTTTGTGGAAATTTATACATCAAACCTTATATCAAGAAAGAACTGAAAGACACAAAAAAAAGATTTGCTGCTGAAAGACTTGGATGAATTTAAATTGGAATGATTTCCAATGAGAGCACAAACTAATAGACTAGAAGGATGGTTTTTTTTTGCTTTACAGACTCAGGCTTCCAGTCTGAGAGTTTGGTGTATTGAATCCTCAACCTTAGTATACATCATACATGTTCTTTGAGCCCCAAGCTGTTCCATATTCTCTTAATGAGAGTATTCTTCTAAATAAAATATTAAAGAATTATGTACTCATTACTCACTATCAAGGTTTATAGATATTCAATGAGAGACAGGTCTTCCATGCTTTATCTTTTTATGGAACAACTCCTTGCTGTTATGTCTCACCTCATCCATGAGCCCAAACATAACAGGGGGTTTTAAGCAAAACCCAAACGCTGACAGTCCTGGACATCACATCTGAACTGCCTGGATCTGATAGTAAGTACCTTAAGATACTTTCTCACTATCAAATCAGACACATACACGTAATCAATAAGTCACAAGATAGTAAGTAGACTTCTTCTGAATTGATTCATAGAATCTCACTTTCAACAATGTTTTTCTTCTTTTTTTGGATTTTACTAAAATCAGCCCCCCCTTGTGAAGTTTGACCGCCCCCTTTTGTACTGTATTCCAATTCAAACTTCCACCTATCTCACGTAGGGGGCGGTCTGGAGAAGTGATTGAGAGACAAAGGGGGCGGTCTCAAATATGAATCCTGTATTCACCAAAATGAGTGGGAAAAAAAGATCCGGAGGTAAACCCAGGTGAGAGAAAACAAACTTGCTACAAACTTGCTCAGTTGCTGTTGGGCAACCGCACAACGCATAGCACTGTTTTCAACTTCATTAGATGAGTTTGAAAGTCATTCGGACCCTAGCTGGCTGAGTTTAGCTTCATCACAATCACTTGATGTTTCAGCAGTCCAGCCATCCCTGCCAATGATATACCTCAGCTTCGAGTAAGAGAAAGCAACAGAAAAGGAAGCCTATCCACCATCTCGTTCCTTCACAATATACTCATAGGCTCCTTTCTTGGATCAGTTCATGATACCTGTGGCTATAAACAGCGGCATCGTGAACTAGATTGAAATACATACGTATGTATGTAGGTTACGTATGTAGATTTTGTTTCAATTCATCAGAATTGGAGACTGTTCCAGACCGCCCCCTTCCCATCTCACGTTTGTATTGTACATTCATTGTTTTCATTTCCCCGGCTAAAAGGGGGCGGTCAAACTTCACAAGGGGGGGCTGATTTTAGTAAAATCCCTTTTTTTTAGAAAAGACCAAAATGAATTTGACCAACCCAAAGAGATGGTGAGTTAGAAATGAGTTAAAGTCATAAACCCATCACTCAGTTTAGATCAAACTCAATACCTTCAGATGAGCTTGAGCTACATCAGCTTCACTATTCAACTTTTTTCTGTGCTTTAGAGAAACACTTTCTTAAAGGTTTGTTACTACTTCTCTTGGAGATCTTGGGAAGAATGGAATAAAAAAATGGGCCTCATCGGGAATTGAACCCGAGACCTCTCCCAGCTTCGAGTTGAACCCAAAGGGAGAATCATACGACTAGACCATAAGGCCATGCTACGTCATCGCAGTGTTGGGTTTGAGACTATTGGGGTAAGTACAGGCATTACAACAATTTACATCAAGATTCGATCAGACCGATATCCAAGATTGAAATTTAAGCTGAGCAAGTTGATAACAAACCAAAAAGAAATTGATGGAAAAGAAATTCAAGATGAGAACAGAACCCACTCAATCCACTTCAACCTCAACCTCAACATCCAATCAAACCAAACACTCCATCAAAACTCATCATCAATCAATCTTAACTTCAATTGCACCTCAATTAATGAAAACCAACTTATTAAACAATCCATCCTTCAATCCATCCTTCATTCATCATCAAAACCTTCATAACCCATCCAATCCATCCTTTTCACCTATCACCATCACCAGAAGATTCAAAACTATCTTGCCTAATCAACTAGGAGGAAGACCGAATGAATTAAAGCATTGGATGATCACAGATTCAAATCAAATTGATGAATTACTTAAATTAGAATTACCAAGTAGATCGACAGATGAAATCGAAAAACCAAATGAGCATCAAATCTCATTCTTAACTGGATTCTCAGCTACTTTACCTTCTGTCTTAGAATCTAAAAATAATAGACGTAAAAGAAGAGGTCAGATTGGTGAAAAGATCTTAGGAATCCAATCGAATCATTCACTTTTATTAAATCAAAGATTACAAATCGAAACTGGTAAACTTGTGAATCGAACTCGAAAAAGTTTAGGTCATGATGATGTTGAGGTTGACGATGATCATCAAGTGAAGCTTGGGAAGATGAAAAAGTTTAGAAGGAAAACGGATATTGGAATCAATCATCGAAATTTAAAAGGTTTAGAATCAAAAGAAGAAGAGGTAGAGGAAGAGATGATGAGTTTGAATGAATTGAATTCAGAATTAGAAGAAATCAAAAAAGATCAAAGTAATTTAAAGATTCGGAAATCGTTGATCTCCAACGATTTAAAATTGATCGAACTGAAACTGAACCGATTATGTAAGATCAAAGAAACCTTGGAAAGATCCTTGTTGAGTTTGAAAGAAGAAGAATTAGAATTGATTGATGAGTATGAAGGAGTTGAAGATCAATTAATCAAGACTGAATTCAAATCGAAATCGAAAACTAACTCAACTTTCAATGAGAAATCCGTCAATCCGATTCCACCTACTAGACTTTCTTCTACTTCTTTTAGAAGACGTCGAGGTCCAGCCTTCTTACCTTCTGAACACGATCAATTACCTAAAAATGTGGCCTTTATGACTCTCAAGGGTCATACTCAACCGATCAGTGCATTGGATTTCACAAGCCCGTATGGTCAATTGGTCTCAGCTTCATTTGATCAAACTTTGAAAGTTTGGGATTTGATTTCAGGTGATGAGATTCGAGAATTGATCGGACATAAAGGTATGATCAAGTGTTTACAAGTTGAAGATCAGATTTGTATCACAGCTGGGATCGATGGTCAAATTCGAATTTGGGATTTATCGATCGATTCATCAAATGATTTGATGGAATCTAATTCAAGAGATTCAAATCAAGTTCAAGAAGATGAAGATCAGATGGAATCGATTCAAAGTCCATGTATAAGAAAGCTAGAAGGTCATACTCAACCAATCACTTCACTCTATTTCGATCAAAGTTGTCTTGTAAGTTTGCTCTTATCAATTCTTTGAAACCCTTTTTTTGATTTTTCTCATTTGATTGGATTAGGTCACCGGTTCATCAGATAAGACCATTCGACAATGGGACCTAGAAACCGGTCAAAACGTCTTAACGATGGATATCTTATGGGCCATGCAACATTCTCATTCCACTTCTTCTACTAAACTTAATCCATCTAATCCTTCGATTAGTGATTTCGATTTCGATCTGAATTCGAAATCGAGCTTGATCAATTCGAGTTTGTTTCATCCAAATCATGAGATCGAACATGACTTTGTAGGTGGAATTCAATTTTGGGGTTATGCTTTAGCTAGTGGTAGTGCAGATGGATGTGTAAGAATGTGGGATAGTTAAGTCTACATTTTTCTTAGTTTGGATTCTTGGATGAGGTTTTTGGGGTAGGTTTGAATGGTGGGGATATTGATGTGATTTGAGTTGAGATTTGTAGTGAGAACGGGTCAAGCTCATCGTACTTTAGTTGGACATACTGGACCGATTAGATGTTTACAATTTGATGAAATGCATTTAATGAGTGGGAGTGTAGATAAAACGATCAAGGTTAGATTTGATTTTTATTGAAAAAAATGATTCTTGCTTTGCTTGTTTTTTATTATACTGATGTGCCTTCCTTTGGGGGGAGGGATTGAATAGGTTTGGGATTTAAGGACTGGAAGTATAAGTGATACGATCAAATATTCAGATTCGATCACTTCTTTACAATTCGATAGTCGTAAAATCATTTCGACTTCAGGTACTAATCATCTTAACGTAAATCCAATCGAATCTCTTCTTCTGGTTTTGCTTTTCTCCTTCTCTTCATCTGTGTGTGTATGTATGTGTTTGAGAAGGAAAAAATGGAAATTGATTTTGAATTTTTTTCTTTATCATAGGTTTATAATCGAACCACATTAGAACATTCCAAAATAGATGAAGGAAATGGACATTTAGATTTAGTTGAAAAGTTTCGATATTTAGATCGATATTTAATTTCAGGTGGAAAAGATGGATTTTTAAAAGTTTGGTCAATCTAAATCTTCATTCTTACCTCTTTTCTATCTATCTATCTCTTTCTTTTTCCTTCGTAGAAGAATTAGAAAAAAAAGTTATCTGTTTCTTCTTCTTCTTTTGAAGAAAAAACAAATTAGATATATTAAATATTTTTTTTGTATCCAATTGAATTAATTTGTAATTTAATGAAAAGAAGAAAGAAAGAGAAAGAAAAGAAAAGATTATTAATGAAATTGAATGATGATAGAAAATGTAGAAATGATGGATTTGATAAAATGATGAATTAAACTTTTTGAAAGAAATGGGTAAGATCATTAGGATTTTTTTTTCTTTTTCCAAGATGATGAATGACTAATTAGTAACTTCATTTTACAAGAATTTAGACTTACCATACTTAGAGCATCCGCACTTGTTTGCGGTGTTTTGAAATGATAAGACGCGGATTGAAAATCTACGTGACAACCTGGGCAGACGGGATGTTAAGAGTTTTATAAGAAACTCAATACGAAAGATTGAGAAGGGCGGATTGAGAATCTATGCCTTACCTGCGACAGAGCAGGATGATAAGTGGTAGGGAAGATGTCTACCACACAGAGAGATGAGTACTGTCCAGGATTAATCAGAGAAATTGAAATTAAGAAACAAAAATAAGGACCTACTCTTAAGCTTCCAGTTCCACACGATGAGGGAGGAAATGGAGCTCAAGAGAGAGCAGGTATATAAGAAAAATATGCGCCCAACTACTTCACGCGACATGCATACCAGATGACTCAGTTGCTACAGTCTAGTCACGACCAGAGCCCGGCCCCGGGACCCAAATATTAGGGGTCCCAGAATACCCAAAAAACATTTTTGCCAAGGGTTTTTTCATTTTTTCTTCATGTTATCCTGATTCTATATACAAGCATGTTGTCCTGAATCTATATACAAAATAACAACACATGCCCATGCTGTTCTGCACCGCACGAGTTGTGATGAGAGGTGCTTGGATTTACGCAGTGGCAACTTAAGTGCTTACTTATGTATTGTAGAACTTAAGTCAAGGACTTAAGTACTTAAGTTAAATACTTATATACCTGAGTTAAGTACTTAGGTACTTAATATTAGGCCTGTTAGGTACCTAGACCCAAATGTTGAGGTTTTAAAAAAAATTGGCCAAGCCAATTGACTTACAGGGTTATCTCTGACACAAACACCCCACTCATAACCCATAAATGACTTCTTACATATGGTTCATCAGTAGGTGTTTAGTGTATAGATTTGTGTACAGCAGAATTCAAAAAGCTTGAAATCAAGAAAGTTTCAAAATCAACTGGTGGTTTGTGTGCCACCTGTGAAAGGTCAAAAAATGCATACATAAATGGTGACCTGTGCAGGATAAACACATGGTTGGCAAAGATTTTGTGGTACAGTGGGTTGAGTGCCTGCTTGGTGGTTGTGAAACTGCACTTGAGACTTGTGTGTTTTTGAGTTTGAGCCTGACTGGCTTTCCTTTTGGTCATCACACCATTTTGACCAATTTTCCTAAACAATATGCTCTTTATCATGAGATAAAACAATGAGACAGGTAGAATATCATTGTTTGCTTGAATATGAGTGTTGCCGCGCCATCAGTAACTCTGAACAAAAATAGTGGCAATTAAAAAAGCCATGAGGGTTGAACACAGGATCACCAGCAATATCACAGCACCCAATTGCACCTTAATCTAACCGCTGCGCCACCAAAGCATGAGGACTTTGGTGTTAACGGTTTATTGGTCACAGTACATTTTGACACCTTTCACAGGTGACGCACAGACCACCAGTTGATTTTGAGAATTGCTTGATTTCAAGCTTTTTGAATTCTGCTGTGATTGAATTTCAATTTTGCAGAGCGAGTCTGGTTGTGACTAGACTGTAGCAACTGTAGCTCATTTGCTAACAGCAATAAAGGGATCACTGCATTGCACACATTGACACCCGCATCAATACTAGAAAAGGAAAAAAATACAAATGCTACGCTACTACTTCCACCAGCATTCACCTTAACCAAACATTCACCTTACATACATTTACTAGTGATGGACTTGACCATCTTACCACAACATGTTTTGGTATCTTTTTTGGTACCCACCTGTACAGTAAGGTAAAAGTTACTTATGTTGTACAAATTTCACACTTGTGTACAGTATCTGCCACATGGTAATTATTACACCCCAAAGCTATTGGGCCCAAGCAGCCACCAAGGATAATGCATGAGGTAGCATATGATTATATTTACTTTTGGCTTATTACCTTTGCTAGAAAGGTTGACACCTTGGGCCCGTTTTTTTTATTTTTTCCAGCTGCGTGCACAGC